TGCCACATGGAAATAACTAACCATTATCCTAAACATCGTTTAAAAAAATCCAGAAAGGAAAGAAACAAATAACCTATAAAATTTGAGTGAAACCAAAAGGAAATTTATCATTAAGCAACAAAATCCCATGGAAGCAGTTGAAACGGACCTGAGCAGCTGATCTCGGCCCATAAACAGAATATGAACCTTCAGTCTCCAGATTAGTGAAGTACACTTCATCTATTGTAAGTAACAGTCACAGATGAGATCAATAGCTCTCAAGATGTTCTGTGCTACAAAAAATCACATGTCACAATGAAGATGACTGTCATTGATTGAATATCGACAAACAAAAGCGAGTATTTGAAAGGTATACCTCAGCAAGCAAGGTCCTCCACAGTAGTAGACTTGTTCTTCTCAAGAAGCTCAACCCACACAAACTCAAGCAGTGCAAGGTCCTGAAAGCAGGATGCATGCTTTTCTAGACATTGCTAGTAGATTTCAAGTCAGTTTCCATTAATTTAGAACCGCAAGGACAACAGACTAAATTATCTTGAGCTTTTTGAACAAAGATAGATATCTCTGTTTTCTCTAACTTCTCGACACCAGAAACAATGAAAGTAATTTGTTGTGGCTTAATATATGTCATGTTTCCAAAATCTAGAAAGTAAAGCTGAGTGACCAGAACCTTAGAGTCCTTAAAATGCAAACATAAGATGTTACCTGATCTATAACTATTCAAATCTTCATTCCATCTGGTTTCTCGACAACAACCAGCAGCAACTTCTTCGGCCCTTTCCGGAATTCCAGCAACAACCCTTTCTTCAGTGTCTGCTTTCGAACCTTACTTTCAAGAATCTCATTGCTTTTCAGTTTTAATCTGAAAATAAATCTAGGCCAAACTTAACAAAGTTGTGATAATCGTTAATACTGAAAGTTCGCTATCACCCAAGTTAAAACGAAAATCATTAGGTCAGTGGCAGTATCTAGAGCTGAGATAACTTTTTTTTTTTTTTCAATTTTCAAGTTCACACAATGATTCGCAAATTCTCTTAGTAGGCAAGATCAAAATCAATCTACTACATATTTGCTCTAAACTCTTCCAACTAAATGGAAAACCAAACATACAAAAGGGAAATATTACCAAATGAATTTATACGAAAACGGACAAAAAATAAAATAAATAACTAAAGATGAAATGAAAACGTGAGTCTGAGCATTAGTGATTCAGATAAAGTAATCATATTAACTGATCGCGGCATGCACCTCTTAATACTTTATTTTAAACAAGATGAGTTGACCCAAATATAGACTTGCATGGCACAGTACAAAACAACTCCCAAATTACTAGTACAATATACTCCACGTGTAATTAGCAGTATCCCGACTGCTACATGCACATTGCAATTCACAGGCAACCGCATTAGGTGAAGAGACAACTCTAGCAAATAGTGGAAGGTAAATTAAACACACAAAATGAGTACTTTATACGAAAATATTTAAGCCAGGAATCTATAGTTTACATCTGCAAGTACTGATAATTAAAAAAACCACGGTTTTCTTAAAGTTTCGAGATCAACATGAAATAAAAGATAAATTATCCCTAACATAGCAGTTTTGCGTCCGTCATGCCTTACAATTTACAGCCAATTATACCTTACAATTCAGGCGCCTTATTCGTCCAGAAAGAACAACTGAAGGGAATATACATCTTCTTCTCATTGCATCTAACTCTGCACATAGCATTCATTAACTATCAGTGAAGTGTCAAACCAACTCAACCCCTACAGCAACAAGACCTGATAAAACAAAATCAGGATTATACCTTTATGTAGTTCTCAGACACCTTATAAGATTCTGGTGTTATTGAGAAAAGACCCAGCCAGGAAATACAGCCTGCCAACAAAGAGAATTGTTAAATGAATACATAATATCTACAGAGAAAACAGTTCAACAAAAACAAAACTTTTTCGGTCAAAATGTAAATGAGATTGAAGAATTAAAGATGGGAATATTCACCTTACATCCACTTTCTTCTGAATGTTCTGTAAGGTACAAAGAACGACAACAGATTGAACAATCACATACCTAAGCTCCGTCGGGCCCGATAGAGGGCCGAAATCGTGGGAGGCTACGGCGATTTGCTCGAGTTCGAGGCCGCCAGCAATTTGTTCCGAGTTAGACAACACCAGCCTCGATGGTCGCGGTTACGACGACTGAGACGGCTGCTCGATGGTGACGCCTATCTGGCACGGCGACAGGGACGGCGACTCGATGGTGACGCCTATCAGCGACGGCGATGGCGACGGAGTTTTTTCGAACATTAATTTCATGGATTCGAGGACGGCGCAACAATGGCGATGGCTAGGATTTGGTGGAAGAGAAAAATGAGGAGAATTTTTTGCTTCGGTCAAAAGCAAGAGGAAAAAATGTGGTAAGTGAAAATGAAACCGTGAAAGAGGGTTATACCTTATGGGAAGCTTCTCAAAGACTCAAACAACTAAAATGGCCACATTGGACACACAAAAAAATGTGGCAAAAAGTAAATATGTAAAAAAGGGACACTTGTCAACTTTTAAAGCTCACAAAATTGGACACGTGTCGCCCAACTAAAACCATTAACTTCTTTGTATATATATAAGAGAGATATATAAAGAATACTATTTTTATAAGTATTATAAATAATAATAATAATAATAATAATAATAATAATAATAATAATAATAATAATAAAGACATTATACGACAATAACTTTTTTAAAAACAATAATAGTTGGATATTATGATGAATAAAAAATAATACAATTATTATTTTTTTCTATACCAAACAATAAATATAAACGTTAAAATGTTATTTATGGATAAAAACGGTCAGCAAGCTAATATATTGTATAAGGTTTTAAACAAATGTTTTAAGAAATAAGTTTATCGTGCATCGCACGGGATACTCACTAGTTTTATTGTAAAGGGGCACCAACCTGCAAGCAAATGTCGTTTATCATTTTGCAAGATAATAACATGTTGTCCTTTTGACTGCCTGATGATGTGTATCAGATATGCCTAATACTATACTTATATTAGTGTATTAAATATTTAGAAACATAAAAAAAAAAAAAGAATTTACTTCGATTATGTTTTGACCAGACTCCAAACTGTAATTTGACTACAGACTGTACCTACTTCTCACAGTGCTACTACCGTGTGCCTTGGCACACCTAGCAAGGTGTGCCAAGGCAGTTTAAAATGAACATATTACTTTATAAAATGAACATGTGTAAACATATTTACACATGTTCATTTTATAAAGTAACATGTTCATTTTAAAAAAGCCTTGGCACACCTTGCTAGGTGTTTACACATGTTCATTTTATAAAGTAACATGTTCATTTTAAAAAAAACCTTGGCACACCTTGCTAGGTATGCCAGGGCACACCTAATTATTTGCGTACTTCTCATGGGTTATGCCTTTTATTTTATTATAAAATAATAAGCAGGAAGAGTTTTAATATAAATCTGTAAATACACCAAAAAGGTTGATGTAGTTTTAAGTTTTAGCCAATTTGATGTTATTTATTTATTTATTTTTATTATTATTATTTTTTTTTGTATAAGCCATATATATAAGTGTTAAGAAACTGTTAAAAACTAATCGGAGATGTTGATAGTCTTCAACAAATCATATATCATTTTGAAAATTCTCGTCTCAATCTATTTGACAACGCTTTCAAGTTTACTATATATGTCTCCAACTTCATCAAAATCACTGTTAAAAGTTTTGAAATTTTTGGCCAAATTATGCCTTAATGTATGACTAGTAGTACCTAGGATCTT